TATATATGTGTGTGTGTGTGTGTGTGTGTGTGTGTGGATATTCTGCAGTAAGTCTTTTTTCAAATAAATTTATAAAAAAATCAAACTTACACATTTCTTTCACCTCATATCGCTACGTACAGCCAAAATAACAACCGCACACTACGAAACATAAAATTCCATACATCCATCCCACTGCATATACGTAGTTAAGCAATTCCCCTCCGCATCTCATTATTTTTAATAAAACATAAGAAGCAATCGCATGAATCAATTAAATCAAACTTAAGGACCAACCACAGCCCAAGGAGCTGCATTCAAAACGACACACGCACACAATTTCCTCTTCATCAATCTAATCACCATATTTCGCGCGCGCTCAAGACCTCATGAGCCAAAGTGCATGAGGCACGCCGGAGAATGGAATCCACCTCCTTCCGGCAAGCAACGCGCCAGCAGTCCACCTCAAAGCCTCCCTCCGCTTGATAACATGATATCCCCTCCACCTCACCCTTCCATTAGTCGGCGCGCCGGGGCCCCGGTTGTTGTACTCAGCATAATACAACGTATCGAGAGCGTAGTCACCCTTCCACGCCATCCACCCTTCCGGCCGAATCAGATCGCCTATTGTGGACTCCATGACTACAGTCGTGGAGAACCTCTTCCACGGACGGCCGAGGAAGCTGCGGATCATGAAGCGGTCGGGAAAGAGGCGGCGGTCAGGCACGATGCGGCAGTTTTGGATGACGAGGCCGGTGAGCTCGTTGTCGGTGTCTCTACCGTGGGCGGTGACGGTGTTCTGCTGGTGGTCCATGGGGTGGCGGAGGATGATGAGGGAGTTTTGGATGACGATCTGAGAGTCACCGAAGATGAAGTCGATGGTGCCCGAGATGACGGAGTTGCGGACGAAGTGGCGGCCGGTCTGGGAGTAGAAGGAGTCTTGGAAACCGTCGATTCTGCAGTTGTAGATCACGGCGGCGTCGGCGTCTAGTCGGAGAGCTACAGCTTGATGACCCTCTGGTCCGGCCGTGTTGGAGAAGCCCATCGACCTGGCGATGAATCCGGGCGCCTCCACCGCTGTGAAAGTTTTGATTGTTAGTAATAGTGGCGAAGCAGATTTTGTTCAGGATGGCAGATGTAAGTAGAGGTGTAAACGAGGCAAACACGAGTCGTCCCAGGCTCAGCTCGTGTTCTGCTCGTTTATATTTAGAGCTCAAAAAGTCTGTTCGTATTCGGCTTGTTGCCTTAGCGAGCCGACCACGAGCTGTTCACGAACAAAAAACCATAAGATGTTAAGGATTGGGGAAAGATTTAAATCCTCATTTGAATCTAATTTAATAATTTGTATTCTATTTTCTTAATTAATAGTTTTAATTGATTATAAATCTTTCTAGCCCTATAGTCAATTAAATTTTTTAAAAATACTACTCATCAAAGATATATATAATTGATTAGTAGTATTTCAAGCCAAACCAAGCTGAATACGAACGAACAAATATTTGTTCGTGTTCGGCTCATTAACTTAGTGAACGAGCCGAAACACGAGTTTTTCTCGAACAAAGAGCAGTTTTAACAGCCCTGGATGAAAGAGTACAAAAATTTAAATTTTATTTGATCCGGGTGAAAAGGAATAAAACTGTCATGCATGATTTCAATTGTTTGCGTATGTATTTTTTTTTTCAATATATATATATATATATATATATATATATAAATTGGTGCTCAAAATCTGTTAAACTAATAAGCGAAGCCAGCAGACATACAGAAGGTAGAAGTCTTGTAAGTTCCGACCCCCTCAGCGTAGTTAAGCCGGCCGGTGACGATGGTCTTCCTTGGTCCATCTCCGTAGATGAGAACATTCGGCTTGTGCTTCTCAACAGTAACCTTCTCGTAATAAACCCCCGCCTTCACATAAATCACGTACCGTCCTCTATAAACCTTCGGCATGGCATTAAGCGCATCATTGATGCTCTTAAAATGCCCGCTTCCATCCTTAGCCACCACCGCATTAGGCCTGAAACTCGGCCTCACCACGCGCGACCCCAACATCTTCCTGTCGCCGGCAGCCATCCACGTCGGATACTCACCATTCGACAGCAACCGACGCCCGCTCGCACTCGTGTTAACATTAAGCTGCTGGGCGAGTGCCCCGACAGCTGTCACGACGGCGATCGCATTGTCGGTCAGCTCCGTGGTATTGCGAAGCGCATCGGTCATCTGTTCGTTGAGTTCCGGTGCCTCGATGCTCGCGACGCAGTTGGTACGGTATGAAATGACCATGCTAAGCCAGGCTTGGAAGTCAGCGATTCGATGACCGTTGTCTGCCTCGGCTATCACGGCGGATAGCTGATCGCCGGCGTCGCCGAGGAGTTGCTTGCAGAACTCGAAGCCGTCGTTGTCGATGGAGGTTTTGGCCTGGCTGTGGAGTTCGTGGGCTTTCTGGTTGGCGGACTGGACCTCGGTTGCGATGAGTTTGACGGCGGCGCGGATGATGTCGCCGGAGGTGGAGGATTCGTTGATGCGGCCGGAGTGGAGGGTGCGCTCGCAGAGGTCTTTGTAGACCGTTGAGTGGCACAAGGCAGAGATGGATCGGGAGTTGGTTGTCAGCTGGGCGCCGGAGTTGGAGGTTCGTGGGCGGGTGGTGGAGGCGATGATTCCGATTACGATGGCGACGAGGAGGATGGCGGAGATGCCGGCAATGACAAACTTTTTCGCCATTTTAGTTTTCTTTTTTTGTTTTTTTCTTAATTAATGGATTGGAGCCTGAGCTCCTATTTGTTTGAGGAGCTCCGGGAAGGAAGGTGGGGAAGAGGGGAATTGCGTATATTAATAGCGGTGAGTTTAAAATGGGTGGATTGCTGGAGACGTGGATGAAAGCGGTTTGCGAGTTGGAAGAGGTTTTCTTGGTTGTGGTTGCGCTTAGCTCTGCCTATGTTTAGAAATGTTGTTATTGTCTTCATTATCAGTTTTTGTATTTATCCTTATAAATCCATTTAAGGACAGTTGTGCAAGGCCTGCGAGGGATCTCTGATTAACGATTTTCTGAGATTAGTGATTATGTTTGATTTATTTAAGCTCTGACAAAAATAGAAATAAAAACTTGATTTGGTGTGATGATTTTACTTGAAAGGAATTTGTAGAATTCCTCCTCTTATAATGGCCTCTTATCTTCCAACAAGGTGGTATCAGAGTTAAAGTTCTTTTCTAGAGAGATAACGAGCAACGGTATGATCAACTTTCAAGTCCCTTGCTTAACAATATTGGTTGTGATAATTGGAGCATCAATATGAAGGACATTCTTAAAGCGCAAGATGTATGGGAGTTGGGAAAGAATGATTATAGTGAATCACAAAACGAGTCAAGTCTATCCCAAACACAAAAGGATAGTCTAAGAGATTAGAGGAAGAGAGACAATGAAGCTCCCTATCTAGTCTTTCAAAAATTAGTTGTTGACGCTTTTGAGAATATTTTCAATGTAAAGTCTGCCAAAGAGGCATGGGAGAAGCTTTAAAATTTTATAAGGGAGCAGAGCAAGTCAATAAGGTGCGTCTCCAAACATTAAGAAGTGAGTTTGAAGCTTTACTTATGACAGAAGTTGAAGTAGCCTCTAAGTACTTTACTAGAGTTTTAATAGCTTCTAATCAATTAAAAAGAAATCGGGAGAAACTAGAAGAAGCAAGGATTATGGAAAAGATACTATGATCTTTAGATTCAAAGTTTGTTCATATTATCGCCATCATTGAAGAAGCCAAAGACTTGGGGACTATGACAATCGAGTAGCTCTTGGGGTCTTTACAAGCCTATAAAGAAAAGATAAAGAGGAAACAAGGGATCACATGACAACTCTAGAAGACACAAATTAATTCAACTAAAGACGAGAGCCTAGAGTATGATAGAAGTTAACAAGGAAGAGGACGTGGTCAAGGACAAAGGCTGTGGTTGTGGATGTGGACGAGGTAGGAGCTCCAATAATGATAACAACAACAATACCAATCTTGAATGAGAAGGAAGTTCAACAAAAGGGCTTGGAAGAGAAAAATTAAAATCAAGGTATGACAAATCCCAAGTGATGTGTTACAACTGAAAAAATTTTGGTCACTATGCTGCAGAATATAGAACTCCCAATAACAATAAAATTGAAGAGGAGGTCAATTACATGGAAGAGAAAAATCAACAAGATGACAATTTGTTACTGACATATAAGGAGAATGAAAATTGTGAAGATAACACATGGTATTTGGACACCGCTGCAGACAACCAAATATGTAGAAGAAAGAGCATGTTCGTGGAGCTTGATGAGTCGATGAGCAACAATGTATTCTTTGGAGATGAGTCCAAGGTAGCTGTGAAGGACAAATGTAATATCCTTGTCCGATTGAAGAATGGAAAGCACCAATTCATTTCTATCATCTATTATGTGCCAAATATGAAAACTAATATCCTATGTCTGGTCAACTCTTAGAGAAAGGTTATAACATTCATTTGAAAGACAAAAACCTTTCTAAAAGAGACAATAAAAGCAACATAATTGAGAAGATACCAATGTCAAGAAATAGAATGTTCTTGCTCAATATTCAAAATGATATTGTCAAATGTCTCAAATCTTGCTACAAAGATCCACGTTGGCTCTAGCATCTTCGATTTGGACATCTTAATTTTAGAGAATTAGAGCTATTATCAAAGAAAAAAAGGTGAGAGGTCTACCCTGCATCAATTACCCAAGCCAGATATGTGAAGAATGCTTGCTAGGGAAGCAATTCAAGAAGAGCTTTTCAAAGGAGTCATATTCAAGAGCAAAAAAGCTACTTGATGTCATACATACAGATGTATGCTGTCCAATCAAGTCAAGATCTCTCGGTAAGAGTAATTATTTCATCCTCTTCATAAATGATTTTTCAAGAAAACCTTGGGCATATTTTTTGAAGCATAAATCAAAGGTCTTTGAAGTATTCAAGAAGTTCAAAGCCTTGGTGGAGAAAAAAAAGTGGCATGGAGATCAAAGTCATGCAATATGATCAAGGAGATGACTTTACTTTAAAGGAATTTCAGGAATTCTGTGAAGCCAACGGAAAACGTCGACTGTTGATTGTCCCAAGAACCCCTCAACAAAATGGTGCAAAATAAAGAAAGAATCAAACTATCCTTGACATAGATCGAATTATGCTCAAGAGTAAGAGGCTACCTAAGGAATTTTGGGTCAAAGTTCTTGCATGTCTGGTTTATTTGTCCAATCGAATTATGCTCAAGAAGTGTGTGGGGAATGACACCGCGGAAAGCTTGGAGTGGAAGGAAGCTCAGTATCTCTCATCTAAGAGTGTTTAGAAGCACAACTCATGTGTATATACTTAATGAGCAATGAAGTAAATTGTATGACAATAGTGAGAATTTCATTTTCCTCGGTCATGACTCCAACTCAAAAGGCTACAAGTTATACAATCCAAGCACTATGAAGACAATCATCAGTCGTGATGTCGTGTTCGATGAAGAAGGAGAATAGGTTTGGGACCCACATGCTGAGCATAACTTCTTTGAGACTGGAGAAGTGGAACAACCAAGGATGGAGCAAGAAAGAGATGAGCTTACTACACCACCAACTACACCAACTACATGTACTCAAGAGGACTCATCATCTTCAAGTGAAGGGTCAAGTGAAAAAATACCACGACTTACAAGAAATTTATGACGTAATCGAGAATCAAGAAAATCTTACTCTCTTTTTCCTTTCTGCCAATTGTGAGCTCGTGAATCTTCAAGAAACTACGCAAAGTAAGAAATGGAAGGATGTCATGGACGAAGAAATCAAGTCGATCGAGAAGAAAGATACAAGGGAGTAGCTGCACTTCCAAAATGGCACAAGCCAACTTATGTGAAGCGGGTGTACAAATTAAAGAAGAATGTGAAATAAGAAATCAAGAAGTATAAAATAAGATTGCTAGCAAAAGGCTACAGCCAAAAAGTTGGCATTGACCATGATCAAAGTAAGCATATCAACTGAACCTACCACTGCATCATAAGAAAGGATATGCAAATTGCGTATGTGGAGACTCTTGATCGAATAATTGATATATTCACTGAGTTGTTTAAGTATAAGATTGCCTGGGATGACAAATCAAGTTTAAGAAGGGTGTTGAAAATTAAACTTGATTTAATCAATTGGGCCTTTTAATTGACCCCATTATCTAAAATAGTCTTTAGAAAATTTTAGAGACTTGATTTGTGACGAATGTTTTAGAGGATTCTAGAGATACATTTGACATGAGTGATTTAGAGAATTCTAGATTATGTAATTAATGAATTTTGTAACTGAAAAAAAGAGAATACACTAGAGAGTCACTAGCAGCCATTAGATTGAATTATATTGGCACAATCTTAATAAAATTGTCACTAATATAAAGAGGTGTATTATGTTTTTGTTTTGTATCAAGAAAAAAAATTAAAAAGTACAAGAGTGAAACAAAAGTGAGTTTTACAAGAGTTCATCTTCTTTTTTTAGCATTCCTCTTCTTATAATAGCCTCTTATCTTCCAACAGGTATGTTGATTGAATGGTCTCGAACCAAGAGAAAAATATTTGAATTGAGCAAACCTAATTGAACATGGTAGGGCGATTATTCAATTTTAGGTACCTTCTGTTTGGGTAATCCGAAAGGAATTGATATTAACTGTTACCAAGAAAAAAATCCATGATTTAATAGCTCATAAAAAATATAATTATTTTATATTTTGTATACATACATACATAAATATAAATATATATACATACATATATATATATACATA